AGATTACATTACCATATCCTTGCAAGAACAATTAAAAACCAGTAAAATTTATATAGTAACTATATTTTCATTATAAGTACGAGTCTTTACATTTTATATACACTTCCCCCTCTCTCTCTATATATATATATTGTTACGTCTCCGTTTGTTAATTGATTTCCCGTAAATTCGTTCCAACGAAACTTTAGCGACACAAGTCCTTACTTAATAAAACTGGTTTATTCTTTCCGAATATAACTTTACGATACACTTAATTTCAACAATCGCGCTAAAACAAACGCTATAACAACGAACGTGCTCAACTTCAATAATACTCTCTGACTGCAGATCAATATCTCACTGTCTACACACACATTGTTCCGTCACGTCATCACCCTCTTATATATATATACCAGACTACCCTATATCTAGTAATCTCCCGACTATTCCCGAAGGTTCGAGAGGTGGCGTGACACTAGTCACGTGACCTCGCTGACGCAACAAAAGGAATTTGGATCAACTTGGGTATCCACAACTATCCAGAAAGATAACTGCAATAAGTCGTACCCCATCCGTTGGAAGCAAAGTGCGACATCTTGTAAGAAGTGATAACCTAAAAAAATAAAGCCGTCCACGTGTCCCAGGCAACATTACACAACATAAAGGATCACTGTTCGGAAAAACAACACAAGTAACTTGTTACACAAGTTGTTTCCAAGACATTTGTACAGTCATCACATACCACAAGCAGCTGAATAATGAAATAAATATTCATGTTAGTCCATAGGATGAAATACTGGTCAAGTCGATAGATTTCGGTACGATTGGATTGTTGAAAAGGGTGGTGGGAAACCGTCGTCTTCGTACACTAGATGGATGATGGAAAGCTAACAGGAAAGAGTGGCATTTTTCGGACTCGACAACCTTACGAAATAGCATTTAGCAATGAAAGATGCACAATCGTCAGATAGAGCATGACAAATTAGGACAACTTTGGTTGTAACAACATGGTAAAGCTCCACTCCAAAATCATTATGATATAACATACTAAATCTTTGTATACGAGTAAGTTTAGAAGATCTGCCAGTGATATCTCTTAATGTTAGACTATATTCAGTGTTGGGCATGGATTACCTGTTATGTTTATCTTTGTAGACAAGAGGATACTGCACATCTTGGTCATATGAATATCTTGAACTACTTGTTTTGATAATTAATTAAAAAGGGTTTTATCTAGCTTAACTGGTGATAGCGTCTCGAACGACCAATATAGATGGATGAAGGCCATTTCCGCCATCCCCATTTTTTACTCTGCTGTTTATGTTCTGTTTGCTTAACATACAAAGTATATGTTTCTATAGAATCATGGCTACAAAGAATACCAAAGATACAGAAGCTGTCATGCAGCAAGCAGCACTTTTGAATGAAATGATCAAGAAAGAAAGACGTTATCAGAAGCTGTACACAACGTTCATTATTAATCCTCATAAGAAAGGTATGCCGTTTTAATTTGATTTTAATTAAGTCACGTAAATTGTATCCTAAAGTTCACAGTTACTAACTCGATAGATCAAAATATGTCAGAAAACTTATGTCAAGACCTAAAGTTTAAAAATTTGCTATTATTACATACATGAAAGTTTTACATTATATACGTGTTTTTAACTATTTTTCCATTTCGTCAGGATGTTTTTTGGCTGGAAAACCAAATACTATTGACACACATCTTGAAGGAAAACTCGATGGTAAGTCATATTTATTCATTTACACGCTACAGGAGTCTAGCACCAATTGTCTTCCCTCCAGTATGGAGCCGAGTCGCACACGTTTAGCAGTGCGCAGTCCTGGTAGCGTGACGTCGTCCTACAGGGTGTTAACCGAGTAACATCAAACACTTCATGTGTTCAATTTATAACTATAACTGAAACAAAACGTGCTATTTACAAAGCTTTACAATCTACTTTTTTATGTTTAATGTGAATATGGTGATGGTATTAACTTACAAATACGAAAACTTGACCACATCATAATCTTCATTCACCTATAAACAAATAGGTGTATACATGTGTTTATGTATTAGACCGATAGGAAATATAACTCGACATGCCGATATGTTTTTTCAGTACTAATCAAACCACAACCAGATAGCTCCTCATTACTTGAGTATTGACTTTAACGGTGAGCTGAATTCAATTCGAACCTGTAGGGCAAATGCATGTATAAATTATATAAAAAAATCTAATAATTATTATGATTATAAGCGAGCCTAGTTAACTTTAATTTCCAAAAGAATAAGAGAGGAATCTAATAACATCTGTACTGTCTATTCTATGTGTGCGACACGCCTTTTACTTTGAAGTAAGGATTTGTGTGTTTGAATATACACACATATATTTGTTTGTTCCGAAGCACAAAGTTAAAAAAAACAGTTATCTATGTTCTGCCCAACGGGTGTTGAAACCCAGTTTTTAGCGTTATGTCCTCGGAGTTGTTGTTTAGCCACTTGGGGACAAACAAATACATTTTCATCAAAATTCATGTTATTCAGAAAAATTGATTCATATATATATATATGTGTGTGTACTGAAAAAAGGTTGGCTGAATATGTAAAAATTAATAGTAAGGTTTTCTTCAAGAACATTAAGTAGAGTCTTCCAGGATAAAGATTTCTTCCAGAACATTAAATAGTCTTCTACGATAAGGATTTCTTCAAGAACATTAAGTAGTCTTTCAGGGTAAGGATTTCTTCCAGAACATTAAGTAGAGTCTTCCAGGATAAGGATTTCTCCAAGAACATTACGTAGTCTTCCAGGGATGATACAAGAAGGCTAATATTTGATGATCATGGGATGGCTGGGGTATTATATTATTTTTTTCAGTTTTTACTAATGAAAATGTAAGCAAATTCCTCTTCCTAAACAGTTACTACATGGACACAAGACTGAACAAAATGATCACATAAATTCTTTTTGAGTTTTTTAAGAAAAACTGGGAAGTTTAAGAAATGGTAAAGCTCCTGGGCCAGATAATATTTATCCAAGGGTTTTGAAAGAGGTTAAAGATTGGATATGTGAGCTACTTGCTACTATTTTTTCCAAGTCCTTGAATAGTGAGCAGGTGCCAGAAGATTGAAAGTTTGCTAATGTTACTCCTCTTTTCAAGTCTCTTACAGCCATCCAAACAATGGCCTATTTCTAGTAGCAAGACAAATAGGATTTTAGGTTGTATCTACAAAAATACTGAATAAAAGTCTAAAGAGGTTATAATGTCATTATTTTAGAGGTCATTGGTAATGCCACATTTGAAGTACAGTGTTCAATCTTGGGCTACTTGCCTTAGAAAGGACACTGACTTGTTGGAAAGAATTCAGAGGAGGGTTACTAAGATGATATCTATGATGGAAAGGTTGTCATACAAGGATAAGTTAAAATCTCTGATCTTTTCTCTCAGAGGGGATCTGATTTAGGTGTTTAAGATTGTTAAGGGAATTGATAGTATTGATGCATCATCTTTTTCTGTATTTAATGGTGAGACTAGGAGAGAGAAATATAAATTTTAATTTGGCAAGGTTTGGAATGGGTTGCTTTCTTATGTTATAGATGCAGTAAATTTAAGAGGGTTTAAGGGAAACCTTAGTAAATATTTGAATGACAAGGGTTGGCTTTCAGTTATTTAGTGAATAGGATGGCCTAGATGGACCATAAGGTATCCTTTAACATTATATAGTTTGTGTCCGAAAAACATATGTTCAAATGCTTTTTCCATCTCACTTTAGAGTACAGCTTTAAATGAATGTGTAAGAATGTTTTAATTACAATGCAGTGTCATGTCAGTTTAAATATAATGTATTGTAGTGCGTAGTATTTTTTAACAGGTTTAAAATCATACTGACTACAAATAATTCTTAACCTAATATCTCATACTGCAAGATTATAACACGTTGAATAAGTTTCATTGATGCACAGTTCTAAGCATTATTGCATACATACAGAGACATACCAAACATTACATACTCTACTTATCCTCACCTGTCTATTGTATGTACACTTCTTCTAGGTAAAATAAATAAAATTCTGAGTCATAATAATTGATGCTCCCCAGTAATTCTGAGTACTTATAATGCTGGGAATTGGGTTTCAATACCCACAGTGGGCAGAGCACATATCCCATTGTGTAGCTTTATGCTTAAAAACAAACAGTCGATTAGGAAGTTTAAAAGATACCCAAAATATTTTACTTCCATCACTGTTTCCATTAGAAGTGAATTTACCTGGGCATGAACTGAAGATCAAAAATTAATACAGATATGTACAAGCATTTTTTTTATGTTTTTGGTAAGCTATTTGGCTAAGTGTATGATTTCAGAATTAAATCTCCCAAGCTGGGCAAACCTTGCGAGTTATTATTGGAATTATGGCAGAAATATAACAAAGAGGATTCTCAACTAGTCATCTCAAAGAAGTTAGGATAAGTAAGTACTAACTCCAAGCTCTTTATAGGTTTTTATTTTCTGGTGTATTTACTGAAATAGTTCTGGTTGATGTATATAAGTATTCCTTTGTTAAAAAGAACCTAGTAATATACATATTTTGTTTTTCAGATGGCTTATTAGATACTATTACATCAATTAACAAAACTCCTTGCGAGAAGTATGACTGGCCAGTAACTGAAAGCCAAACAATTGGGTGGTTTAGTAAACCTCTTGTAAGTACGAGGTTTTCTGGTGTTATCTATTACATAACATTAATGTTTGTGGTATTTTATTAAGTAGTATCAGAACATGCAGTTTTGAATATACATATAGAGCCACTCTTTCTAAACTGTGTATCTATTGATTGGTACACAAAAACCAATAAAATATAATAAATACTTTCAGTCCTAAGACTAAGTACTGAACATGTACTTATTATAGAAAAAAAAACAAAACTAAAACAAAACCTCCTTTAATACTTTAAAGGTGCCATTTTATGAATGAGTAAGAGGAATCATTTATTTAATACATTTAGTACCAACAGGTGTGAGAAAAAAGTAATGCATTTGGCTTTTTTAAGAGCCAAATCAAATTTTCATAGCTAAGCCTAAACTCTAATTCAAAATATGTCCCATATTTCCACAAGCTCGAGTTTTTGATATTTGAATTATTCTGACACTAAATAGACACAATTTTGCAAGCTTCTTTTATTGAACAAGGCCTTTCTGGTATGCTATAAGATACACGTTATATATGAAACTTTTTTTTTTCTTCATAAAGATCAACTTGTGTTACTGCAAAGAGTACAGTGACGTTGAGACTGTACAAAAAATACATTAGGTCCAACTTATTACATAACATACTTTACAAATTATGAAAATTAAAGTGTGGTTTCAAAATGTAAATAAATTGCTCTGCAGTAAAATGTTGGCTCTAAAAATCCAATTAATTCAATATTTTGTTTGATCAGGTGGACCTCGATAGGACAGATAGGCGTTTGTATTTCCCAAAAATAAATTCAGAAGTGACAAAATTTATGGAGGCAGCCTGGAGACTGAAGGAACAGAGTGAAAACATAATAATTAAAAAATAGTAATAATCATCATCCAGAGTTTTCAATTTGTCTCCACTGAAATTCTATTATAATTCAAATAATCTGATTTGTTAAATCACATATGGTTAATCCAGAATTTGGTACATATTGTATAATTGAACAAAGAACATGATAATAATGGTCAATTACATAAGAAAAATTACTGATTGGTGTATAATAAGAAATATGCCAGAACACTTCTTGACCAGAGGCTTACTTCATCTTATTATGTACAATTAAGACAAAGTTATTTAGGTGAGCAGAAAAGAGCTATCATTAGTTGTAACTGTTCCTTTTAGTGAACAAGGCCTTTCTGGTATGCTATAAGATACACGTTATTTATGAAACTTTTTTCTTCATAAAGATCAACTTGTGTTACTGCAAAGAATACAGTGACGTTGAGACTGTACAAAAAATACATTAGGCCCAACTTATCACATAACATACTTTACAAATTATGAAAATTAAAGTGGGTTTCAAAATGTAAATAAATTACTCTGCAATAAAATGTTCGCTCTAAAAATCTAATTAATTCAATAATAAGGTCCTTGTTACCTTATGTGATTAAGGAATACACCAGTGACTAGTAAATCAGTGTTAATTCCATTGATCTTTGCTAAAAGTAAAGTTAAGACTTGCACACTTGCTCATTTTCTAAGTACATTATGAAAAGTTCTCAGAAGTATGAAAATTATCACAAAGTATTTATAAATAATTCCTAGAGTTGAGAGGTGGCAACTTCCAATTTCATTGTTAAAATATTTTACACGTTAAGTAAAAAAACTAAAGCATACATATAATAAACGTAAAAGATATTTACTGGCATCATGACCCACATTTAATTCAATATTCATTTAAAGACAAAAGTATTCTCTTTTTTATATGAACTGAATAAAAGGAACATTTGTTCAAGCATATTATGCATTAGTGTATCTCTAAGAATTGTTTGATGTTCTCTTATATTTTGAAACATAAATTAGAAAGAAACTTATGTTTCAACAGAGAAAGCACATTAAAAACTTATTTAAGTAACATATACTTCTTACTTAAATAAACAAGTTAGAATGTCACAGACAAAAATTTTAACTCGTACCGAATAAGAAAGAAATGCCACATCATTTTTTCACATTACATTTGCAGAAATTAATACAGAAAATAATAAATTCACAGATGCAACTAACCATAATTTAAATGGTCAAGAAAATTTTATAAATAAAAATTATTCAATATTTTTTTAACCCTGTAATATCATGAGATATACAAGTTAAAAATAATTGCACTCAAGGTTTTTAAAATAAAAATAACTAACAACAGACATCTAAATTCAAATGAAAATAATAAAAAGTCATTTCCATTATTCAAGCAAAATTGTATAAAAAATACTCTGTTTACATGATAGCTTTTGTTCTTATTTCAGTTTTCTATCTTCTGTTCACTTTACTTTAAATTGTTATGCTTATTAGATTTAACTGATATTTTCTTCAATACTATGTACAATGTAAATTTAAACTCGAGTAAAATTTCCCCTAAGAAATTGGTTTTATGAAAAACAACTTATAGAATATTAGCTCATAGTCATATATACGTTTTTAAGATTCTGTACCATATAATGCATTGAAACACTGTTTTGTCAAACAAAAACATGCATTAAAACAATAAACCACTAGAACCTGTTGTTTATTTTACATTAAACATCCAACTACAAGTATTTTAACATCTTTAATGGGCTACAGTTTTTTCTGTTTTAATGGTTATTGAAATAGTAGTTGTTAATTGTTGGTGGATTTTTAACAGAAAATCCTTTTGGATAATAACAGGTAATTTTCCTTATGTTTTTTTATTTAAAAAATCTCACAAGACATACTGTACATTTCAGTGAAAACTGCATTGTAAAGTACCATTTAAGAAGTTTGGATATAAGAAAAGATGATGATTAGTGTAATTTCATATAGAAATTATTAGTTTAAAATTAAGAAATTTGTTAATCCTGTGCATTAGAAAAACTCATAAGGACAAATAAAAAACAGCACAGCATTTAAAAAAGATATATGGTAAAGGACTAATTCAAGTTGGAAGGTTCACATGATTGAGGTGGCTTTGAAATATTTAAACGTATCCCCTAATGCAAGTCCTCATCAAAACAAAATCTCCAAGTAGACAAATTAAGCTTATTTATTCTTCCTAATTAAAGGCAAACTATGAACAGGCAAATTAATAAAATTAAAAAATACTGATATACATATTCATGGAGTTTTATTATTTTAACTGCACAAAAAATAATAATTTGTACACACTTCAGAAAGCACTTGCAGGCATAGAAATGCTTTATAACAACGCATTTGATGAAAAGCAAAATCCGCACGCCAAATTTACTTCAGCCGGTCCTTCAAAACGTTTCTTGCATGATTTCCCTACATTCTTTTTGGCAAGTTAGTAGTTTGAGAAAAACTTCATATTTTCCATCATGGAAACTAGAAGAAATATGTCAAAAAAATCACTTATTGTACTCATGTAAAGTTATGCATGAAATAAAGAACAGGCAAAACTGAAACAAGTTTATTATTCTCTAAATTTAAGAAAATATTGTTAAATGACTTTTTCATCTAAACTAAAAGAAAGCGAATCAGTTCTTATGCTTTTTGAAGAAAGTTCAGCTGGAGATATACAGACTCATCTTTTCAGTGTATACAAAAAATATCAGTAGTTTTAATCTTGAACACGAGTGACTCAGTAGATACTCATCTGCTTTGAATAATTACAGAAGCAAAGAACAAGTTCTTTCTTTTTATTACAGGAAAACTGAAATTACCTTTTATCTTTTAACTGTGGTAAAACAATTTTTCCTCCCCCACACATGTGTGATGTAGCTTCGCCAACATCCTTATAGATACTGGCAGCCGTAGCAGCTAATACAGCAGCTCCCAAAAGCACTGATTCTGGTTCATGAGGAACCAGGACTGGAAAACCTGGGTTAAAATGACCATAAAGTTGAACAAGGGGAAAAAGCTACTGTATTTTTACTTACAGTATTCAGTCAACATCATATGTAACGAACAAGGACTGGAAAAGCCTGGGTTAACCATGACCACAAAATCTGTACAAGGAGAAAGCTATTGTAGTTTCAATATTAACTGATATTTATAGCAAGTACAATACCATTTGAGTTCTGTAAATATTACTCATGTTTGAAGATGATTATTAATATCCAAAATTTAAATTAATGAGCCCATATTGGAAAAGCATTGTCTAATTTTAAATTTACGAAGTGTATCTACACGAAATTTTGAAAACTTTAGTAAATAATGCAAGCCTGTTTTTTACAGAAAATAATTTGTATTGGTTAACTTTTTTGTACTAAAGATATGTTTGCATAATGAAAAAGTCAGTCTGACTTTTGTCCACCACATAGTTTGGAAATTGTATTTCTTAACCTCTACAACCACCTAAATATATATTTAAAGTTTTTTTTTTCAATATCCCTGTATCCTGTGTCTGGTATCTTTTCTAACATGAGGTGCTGCAAAATCAAAAATGTAGGGTAACATGAAAAGATGATAATTGCAATAAGTCATAAGTTTGAAGACATATTTACAGTAAAGTAAAGTATTCAATAATCATAAAACATACTATTTTTTCTACATGGAACAAGCAATGAATATAAAGGTATTAAAAGTAACCCATTTTGTCTGTAGCAGTCATAAATACTCCTTACTCAGAGCAAAAGTTTGATAAATCTTAATTTGAAAAATCATAGGTGTTAACTGTAATGTTTTTGACATTAACATATTACATTTAACATTACAGATGTTTCCATTACATCAGTCAAGTTCATCTACTGTTTTATGCAAGTTTATACAAAGCTATTCCTTATACCTGTTGCATCAGCATGCATCTGGACATAAACCTTGTTTTTCGCCAATCCACCACACATCAAGAGCATTTCAATTTCATGACCTGCCATTTCCAAATTCTCTATTATATGTCTTGTCCCATACTTTAAAAATAAAAAGGAAATAATAAAGAAGAAGCTGAAAAGAAAACAGACAAAAGAAGACTAAAACAATGATAAAATTAAAAATTTATGTTTCCAATATTTTTTAAAGTACAGAAGGACAACCCTATAAAAAGCCAAACATATAACCTAATATAATTTAAAAGCACTAATATAGCTGTTGCCCAAAAAAACATAATACTGATGCAAAAACGTACAGTTATGAACCTAGTAACAGAAGGTGAACGAAGCATCTTACTGCTTCAGATGGTTGCTTTGTAGCAACAAACAAATGAACTATTTACTACTTTGAAACAGTCTCTGAATGAGGTATCTCTCCATTAGTTGCTCAGCAATAAAAAAAACTAAGGAAATAATTTTCTACTGATTAATATCTGTGGTAGCAGTTTGAAATGCCTTCTCTAACCTACTGTATGGGGATTAAGCTCATTATATTGTCTAAAATAAAAGACTGTTAGATTGTACTGTAAAATGTACAATACACTCTTATTACATTAGATAGTAAAACTATACAATGACAATCTGAGAACTACAGTTTTAAAGTCACTAAAGCCCTTGTATATCCACAAAAGTTGATAATAAGAAATATCACCCAATAAAGCTATATACATGGTTGAGAGAGGTTTATGTAGCGTAATTTTTAACTACACTTTATTATTAGTTGCTTTGAGATAGATTAATAACTTGCTGCATGTTGCTCATAAAAAAAAAGGTAAAACAATTACCATTATTTGTTTAAAAATGATAATAGTAGTTATTTAGAAACAGAAGGTGAATGAAACAGTTCACAAGTAGATGTTTAGAAACAGCAGTTGAGTTAAATAATTTATCACAGTTGTTCAAAAACAGCTCACTGGAATTTGTTCAGATAAACCATATGACAAAGATACTTCCAACTGCTTTGCTGCAACAGAATAATAAACAAACTTACAGCAAGTGATTGAAGAGTTGCAAGATAGCTGCATGCCAAATCATTCTCATCTGAAGTTAGAGTTAACCCTAAAATCTATGGAAAAAAATACTGGCATGATTAGGAAAATTAACACCATTAAGATGAACATATTTTTATCTTAGTTTCATTTTGAGTTCACTTACTGATTAAATACATTTTATTACAACTCACAGCTTTTAAAGTAAGTCTTATTTTTAGAACAGGTAAGACATTTCGATTACTGGTGTGATCATTCTCAAGTATCAGTGATTGAAATGTCGTACCTGTTCTAAAAACAAATCTTACTTACTGTGAAAACTGTATATTATAATGAAATATATTTTTATTTTAACAAAAACCAAAAAAAAATAAATAAATGTATCCCAATTGGCACTAAAACTATACAGAACATACTTTTAGGTAAAAGCAAAAATGAAAAATGTTTTATAACTGGAAAATACTACATTCATGAGCTTCTGGAACAAACAATATAAAGGTTTACACACAAGGCTGTGAGAAAGGATTTTATTATTTTAGAAGATAAACTATATAAGCTAGAGAAAACACTTCTAGAAGGTTAAATATCATATTACTTTAGTCAATTTTACAATAAATTATTTTTATAATGTAAATCAATATGCTTTGTAAAAATTAATTTTTGCATTTTTATTACTGTTCAATATTTTTTGTCTAATTCATAATCCAAGATTATTCTTTTTGAAAAGTTTTAAAGAATAAAAGTTTAACTAACAAGTATTCTAAAATTCTGCTACTAAATTAGTTTTAAGAAGATGTTACTTGTTTAATACTAGAACTCCTGAAATAGAAAACTAAACTAGAAAGTGTGAGGGAAATTAAAGAGCTTACTAATGGTCATTAGCTGTTCAGTTTACAAATATATTTGTACTCACTATTTTATGTTAATATTTCATAGCTTTATTCATTCTTAAATCACTGTCAAATATGTTAAAACTTACTTTCTACATTAATATGTTACAATTTTATTAATTCTAATATAAGTAAAAACTTTAGAAAACTAGTAAAATGACAGCGTCTCAAGAATAAAAAAATTAAAATTATTTCTAAAATTATATTCAAACAATACAACAAGAATCACAAATTTATATCAGTAATAAATATTATGAAACATTTGAAACTACTGCATATATAGTAATGAAACATTTAAAATCAGAGACAAATAATGTTGCAAAAGCTAGAGACAATTCTCTTCCCGTTAGAAAAATATTGAAGCTAGTTTTGCGGTCTATGTAAGATAAATAGATTACTTATTGTATCTAAAGCTATAAATACATTATTATTGTTCAGGTCAATATTTAACATAGTTTCAGAGTTAGCAGTTAGGCTATCTATTCTGTTTTTGATTTAACTGGATGAAAAATGTGAATGTAGTACAATCATTAAGTTAAATTATGCAGTAAGAATTGTTACATTTTTATGTCTAGAAGTATACACATGCTTCTATAAATATTTTTGTATCGCATTGTTGTGCATAAATCAGCTGCTACTTCATTACTGGATTATATTACAGAATCGTTTTGTTTACACCACAGGTAAAATCAAATATGTGTGACGTACAGGTCTAATGCGTTCTCTGATATGCCTCTACCGTAGACTGCAGTTTCATCTATTCAAGGCTCATCAGCACAGCTTGGGTGTCAGCAAACCAAAGAAATACAGTTAGGCCTCTAATAATGGTGATGTTCATATAATAGTTATGAAGTTTTAAGTCTATTTTAATCAGCATATGACCTAAATTAATTCGTAATTCAATATCATACAGTAGACCAACTGTTTAATGATTATATTATATATTATTCTTTACACCAAAGGTAAATTGAAAATATAATATGTGATGTAGAGGCCTAATGCATTCTTTGATTTGCAGCACCCTCAATTACATATATTTCAAGTAGTTTTGAACTGACCAATTAGCTATAAATGTTTTTATGCATTTTCCATATAAGGTAAAGAAAAAGCAGCATATTCATTTCCAAAATTGTTTTTCTTTTAGGTGTTAGACTTGATCTTAATATAAACATGATTAGTTTTAGGATTGGAAGAGTTAAAAACTGCTTAGCTAGTCCCAAAAACCTAGGTTTTATTTAAAAAGATAATTAGTTAGACTAGATGATCTTGATTTTAAGTGTAGATATTCAATAAACATACATTTCATTTCAACTTTAGAATTTGGACTTAAGGCTACATAGATTAAATTCTACTGCTAATGCTTGGCCTTTGAAACCAGATAAATAAATTGTTTAGGGAATGTTTCATTGTGATTCTTGTCATCTTTGGCTTTTGAAACCAGGTAAAGAAAGTGTTTAGCAAATGTTTCATTGTGAGTTTAAAGATGACAAGAAGTTATCTATTAATCAAAGTTGGTACAAATAATTAGATAACCAAATAAATTAAAACCTTCAATGTATCAAAAATACTTTAGATTTTTCTTTAAGTGCTAGATTTATTGTTAAAGAATCTCTGAATATTATATATATATATATACATAAATAAAGTTGCTAATATTTACATGTTATGTTTTGGATCTAATTCTTTTGTGTACTAATTATGGTACTAATTATGAATTATGGATCTAATTCTTTTGTGTACTAATTATGGTACTAATTATGAATAATGGAAATAATTATGGAAACACACACGCAATACACATATAGAAGTCACAAACAACGACCATGGCAACTAGATGGTGAATTTATTAACGGTACAAAAAATTCTCATAAGTTGTAAAATTCAATAGTATTCTGTGTGGGAGTCCTTTCCTTTACACAGAGCTTTTCACCATGTCTTCATGTTGCCATACAGTTTACCAATGCATGATTATGGAATACTGTTTGAAATGTCCTGTATACTTTCCCGCAATTCATCCAACTTGTTTACTCACATTTTGACTTTCTAAGTTTTTACTTAAGTCCATAAAGCTACAAGAATGTTCATATAAAGACTTTGTGCTGACCAAGCCATAGAACTGAATGTTCCATCAATTTTTTTACTGGCAAGATACTGTTTCACAACATTTGCTGTATGCTTGGGATCATTGTCTTGATGTAAGATGAATCCTCACCCTATGAGGTGTGTTCCTGATGGATGGCTTAATGGATTAGAATTTTTATGCACTTGTGAGTAAATAGGATGCCATCATTTCTGTGCAGATCACCAACATCATTGGCTGAGATGCAGCTACAAACTTTTACTGATACCTCATCAGCTTTACTTTAGATTTTGTACATTGAATACGATGCCATTCAACTCTCTGTTGTTGAACAAACTGTCTCTGATTGTTACCAAACAATTTGAACTTGATTTCATATGTAAAGAGCAAATATCTCCAGCTTTTCTCACACCATTCCACTGCATTTGGCCTGATACCACTTTAACCTTTTGATTTAGTTGCCTTTTCTTAGCAATGGCTTTGATTGAGACCACTTCATGCTGTTCTTAAGTTAAAATTCACACTTGTACTTACAGCAAGATCATTGAAAAGGCACATATTCGAATATCACCTACCTCATATATATTCAACTGTTGACTATCTCGTAAAGAACATATCCTCAGATACTTTACTTTTGGAGAGCCACTTGTACCACTAATGGTGAAAGTTTCATGTACCCTCTTCAGTCTTACATACAGCTCCAACTGAAACATGGAGTATTACTCCAATTCTTTGCATAGAGTATCTTTAACCAGCCAACAATTTGATTTCTACATGCTGGTCATGCAGTAGTTGAAACCTGGAAGCTATAACTCAAAACACACTATTACTACTACTAGTGGGCAAAGTATGACTGCCCATGCTTTTATATTCTTTATACTGGTGTGGCAATTTTTGATTGGTTGAATGACAACCAATCACAATACAAAACTACCAAAACTTTATTCTGGTGCAGTTTATTTTCATATGATAAAAGGGTTCAATTCTTGTAGTATTTGCATAGACTTTTCCCTCACCATTTCCATAATAATTTCCAATATTGTAGAAGCTTTCAAACAATTAACTTCAGCTAAAAGTGAAGATACAAATTACACAAGTTTTTTATATTAGTGCACCACAAGTTGTTACGCAAAATTTTAAATGATAATACACAAATCATATTTTTACCATTCCCTTTAGAGTTGAATCAGCTAAAGGTGACCTATTCCCATGAAAATCTGGCCAGATATGAAGGTCTGTTGTTAAGAATGAAACAGAAGAAACACCTCTCTCTACTGCCAACAACTCAAGATGTTCATTCAGTATTTCTTGAACGTGTCTAAAGAAATTTTAATAGTAAAGAAAGTCAATGAACATAAGAAAGCTGAGACAGACTTTTAGGATATTTCTTTAAGAATAAGAATCATTGTAAATTATTGAAAAATTTCATGTGTTACTAAAATATCCACAATTTGAAAATATAAAAATCCAACTTCAAACACTGGCATTATTAACAAAATTTAAAGCTTTGACAGACAACTTGAGAATTTATTTTGAAAAAAATGCAAAAAAAATCCTTTGAGCCTGTGACACAATCTCTTGCTAATTCACATGATTATTTGGGATTGTGAACAAATGTCAGGAATAAGTTACGTAAAAAAGAATTATTGTTCCTTTAATTTATCCTAGTCAGTTTATTAAAAAAGTTAATTTGTATTTTTGGTATATACTAGTGCACTAAATTAAAAGTGTATTTTTAGCTCAAAATATAAGCCGTTTGGGTAAGAAAATTCGTTTTAAAATATTTTGTGTTTTAAATGCAAGAAAAATTACTATAGCAATCAAAGTCGGTTAGGTAGAAATTCAGACTACATAACCTTAAGTAAACTTACCACTACATACTAGTTTTTATAAGCCTATTTTATACCAACTACAAAACAGGAATATATCAAATATGTTAACTTGAAAATACTTTTATTAATCCTTGACTTCTACAAAGATTAGTATCTATAATCATTAACTTCCATTAATATTATTTTTCACAAATGTATATATTACTCTTTAATATATGTGATCACAAAAATCAGTTATTTTTGTTATACCTACACACTGTGTACATATTTCACATACAACGCACCTTGTTTCACTTTTATTTTCAAAACACTTGGCAGCAGGGTGTGTGTAAATAATATGATCAACCTGTAATAGCAAAGGTAGAGATAAAATATGAAAAACACATTGAAAACCATTTAATCATCCTTCTGCCTATTGGAGGTTAAAATTAATTAAAATTACATATAAAGCTATCAGTGAATTTGTTTGTGCTTTCCATCAATGAGCAAAGCTATATATGTATGTGCTGTATGTGTAGAACACACACATTTAAATTTACTTAATTATAAAAGTACAATAAATAATAAAAAAGTGGTCACTACCTCTCTCTTTTTTATTTCTTACTTTTTAAGTTGCATGGTGCCAATTTCATGATTTTCAAATACATCAACAAAACAAAATTAATTTTATGTATTTAAACTAAGAAATGATATATTAGAAAACTAAAACGTTTACAGAGTAAACATAATAATCAAATTTATAAAATTCCAGGATGTAGTCTGAACTGTTACTAGATAGAGATGGGCAATTTTAGGGGCCCCTTGGTGGCTAATAGTAAGCTTGAGGGTTTATAATGAATCAGGGTTTGATGTCTGTGGTAGGCACTACACAGATAGCGCATTGTGAAGATTTATGCTTAAAAACGAATAATTGTGGGGAGTAACTTATTCACACAAACATTAAATTGCAACAATAAAATGAAATCTAATAAATTTGGTAGTTATCAAAATATATAAATAATAATTTTAATGCAAGGTATTCCTATGTCATTGGTAAAAGAAACAATCTTGATACTTAGGAGTTGTCTTTTAAATCCCATCTTAACATTTGCACTGGTTAGCTTAATGCACATTCTTTTGAGAAGTATAGTTATGAATACAACAAACTCATTACACTAGATGTAAGATGTTATGTTATACACTTCGATATGCAATGGAAATTTTTATTCAACATATCTTTGCACAGCAGTATGAAAAACATAAACTAAAAACTAATGTAAAATTTTCTAACCCCTACACAATATACCACCGGTTGCAAGATATTGGTAAATTTTAAACAAATTCATATAAATTTTTTAATCACAACATTTATATAGCACAATCACCTAAAAATATAAGTTCAAACTATGACAACTAACTTAATATATTTTTTTTTTACTTGCAACACTAAACACATTATTAGCCCCAAATCACCAGTGCTCCTGCAACATCATTCTTCCTTACACTACTTGAACACATCATTAGGGCTGACTCACCAGTGCTCCTGCAGCACTCTGGACTTATTTACAGCACTGACATGTCATTAGGACTGATTCACCAGTGCTCCTGCAGCACTCTGGACTTATTTACAGCACTGACATGTCATTAGGGCTGACTTACCAGTGCTCCTGCAGCACTCTGGTCTTACTTACACCACTGACATGTCATTAGGGCTGACTTACCAGTGCTCCTGCAGCACTCTGGTCTTACTTACAGCACTGACATGTCATTAGGGCTGACTCACCAGTGCTCCTGCAGCACTCTGGACTTATTTACAGCACTGACATATCATTAGGACTGATTCACCAGTGCTCCTCCAGCACTCTGGACTTATTTACAGCACTGACATGTCATTAGGGCTGACTTCCCAGTGCTCCTGCAGCATTCTGGTCTTACTTACACCACTGACATGTCATTAGGGCTGACTCACCAATGCTCCTGCAGCACTCTGGACTTATTTACAGCACTGACATGTCATTAGGGTTGACTTATCAGTGCTCCTGCACCACGCTGGTCTTACTTACAGCACTGACATGTCATTAGGGCTGACTCACCAGTGCTCCTGCAGCACTCTGGCCTCCTTCATTCAACCACAGGTTAGGTATCATTGCTGAAAAATAAGGTCCCCAAACACCAGGTGTATATAAAGGTTTCTCTGTGACCTGTGATAGGAAATAAAAGAAGATTGTCAATGAAATTATTTTTTTTAAACTGGTATTTATGTATAAACAATAAATGAGAAAGTCAGTATTAATTTCTTTTAAATACTTTTGAAATAAACTAAAACTTCTTTCATATCGTTAAAAGTATTTGGTGTTAAATAACAGCAAACTTATTCTGATTACAAGCACTGTCTCTCTGACATACTCTTTGAGAAGCATATTTTTTTGAGAAAGTATTGACTTACTGATTGTTTTAATGAAGTTTAGTAGTTATTTGTATACTACCAAAATATTTTTGTTTGCTTAACTGAAGTCTTAATATCAAATCAGTTCTTTATTTCATACAATATCTTTTAATCTTAGACTAGCTCTGGGCTGTTCATAAGCAACTGTATTTCCTAATACCTGTTTAATTTATAATACATGGACAGGAATAAAAGACAATTCAACATGTACAAGTTTAACACTTGTTTCATGAAGATAACATATATCCAAATTTTCTAGCTATTTGACACTAAGTTCAAAATAACGAAGATTTTTGAAGTTCATTATATTTTCTTCAATATGGAATGTTTTTATTAATTACTAATTACAAAAAGTACCTTCATATGGCAGGTTGAGGTGCCACATATAAGGGCAAGCCGATTTGTTAAACTGGATTTTTATATCCAGCTGGACTGCAACCTAACAAGCCTGGCCAATTAAAAATATGAAAATTTGTATGATCATTTAACATTTATTATCATCTTGTATCTTTTTATGAAAACACCATTTTATTTGTTATTTACTTGAAATAGTTTTAAAGATTAATTAAAATTTCCATCATAATTCTATAAATGCACGGAACATGTTTTTATAAAAACAAACATAAAATATTTAGAAATTATCCAGTTTTTGTTCTCCTCATCATCAATAAATGGAAATACAACATCAATGTGAATATATATTTTTTAGTATAAATATTACGCCGTGCACATTCACTGTGATAAAACCACTGAGTGTATGCAGTTATGTGGCCATATCCAATTTCTACTTCCTAACATAAATTTACTGAAACATAAACCAATCAAGTCTTCTACTTTGTGCATTTTATTTTTAAGTCATAAAATTATCATTATAATGAGAGATTACCAATGCCTCCAGCGTGTGCATCAATGATTGAAGTTGCTACAGGAGTTCCTGCTTTTAGTCCTAGTTCTGTTGCAGCAACCTCAGTCAATCCTTTTCCACAAGTCTGTCCTGGTGCCAAGATGATGTTTCCTAGTTATAAACAAAATGTTAACATAATAAACTCAGTTCATGTTAGGGAAAGTAAAATATCCACAACAAAAGTACAAAAATGTTGGGAGAAGTCTTTAGAGGTGAATTGTTTTTAAAGATAAACTTGTATTTAAAACAATCATAAGGGATGATTAGAAAAATCAGACATATGGTAATAAATGTAGAGATGTAGCCAGCACAGTTTTGGACAAAACTTCAAAAACTTGATACATTCTCGGTTGTTCTATTTCTGCAAGTTTCCATTACAAAGATACCAAATTCATGAAGGAATGGTGTAAAGTTAAATTTACTTACAATGTACTCTTGCACATCTTATAGTTATGCCACAAATTTTACTGTCAAATGAGAACTTCGTATCGACTGTGAACCTATGATGTCAGATTAATATGGAGAACTCTAATCCTGCGGTCTTGTTTGTTTTATTCACTTTCACACAGAGCTACTCAAGGGCTATTTGCACTAACTGTCCTTAATTTTGAAGTGACAGACAAGAGAGGGTGGGCAGCTATTTAACACCATGCACCCACAGCAAACTCTTACTCTTTACCAATGAACAGTGGGATTGACCATAACATTCTAAAACCCCTATAGCTTAAAGGGCAAACATGTTTATTGAACGGTTTCAATCTTGCAACACAAAGATTGAGAGTCAAACTTACAAGCAAGCAGGACATGTAGGCAAATACATGAAATTATTCCACTTTTACAGCTATCAACATTAAACCCAATTATCTTACTGTATGTTCTTCAGTTTTGTTGTCTTTAGTCCATCAACATGAGGTAACAGACTTAAATTTACACAAACAGGTAATCTAAAGTGACCAATCACAATTGTCCATTTATCTTTAAAACTTTGTTTACATTTAAAGATAAAAGAATAGTACAATTAGCAGTGTCACCACACTTGGTAAATGGTCATTTCTTTCAGATAGCCTGGAAATGTATATCAGAGCATCAAAAATTTCAAGTTTTTCTAGGGGAGGATCCCTAGAAAATCTGAGGTATTCTACTTTGTAGAATTACTCATCACAACTATTTATCTTTACCAAAAAAAACACCCCTAAAATGAGTGCAAAAAATTATATGCAGTAAATGTTTCAAACTAAAAAAGCCATCCTACCCAGTACAATGAAACCACTTAAAATCAGCATTTCCATAAAAACCTCAAAATATTGTCAAGTTATATCCCTTATAACCAATAAAAAGAAAACTGAGGTATGTTAATTTAGTAAGGAGAGTTGAGAATTTGAATCTTACCTTATCTTAATTTTTACTTTTAAGAAAAAAATCTAACTTAACTTCACAAAATGATGCAAAACCATCCAAAAAAACAACAAAACAAAAATGTGTACACTTGAACTATCTAAGATCAGAAGTCCAAAGGAAAAGAAAAACAAGAAATAAATTCTCAGTCTGACAAGTCCATTGCCTTAGCTTAAAGAGTCCTACCAAATTCTGTCTTTAATGAAGATAAATATAAAATATACAGCATTCAAGACATGGTAGCTTTGTTGGATAAAGTATCTATATCAGTAATAAGATTTCAGGTGGGAGAAGAATGAAAGTTGGCTAATGTTACTCCTCATTTCAAGGTAGCTAACAACCATCAGGAGAAAGGGTAGAAAATGCCAGGTGAATTAAGAGGCGAATACAGCTCAGAAGGGTGATGGGAAAAGGTCCATGAGAGAGGTGAGTATTTCACAGAAGAAAAACATGGAACTTGGGAACCACAGAAGGGAGCAATACATGTCATATACCCTCAGAGAGACCTGACCTGACAAAGGAGATGGATTGATTGGAACATTCTGTATGGGCAGGGGTGGAACATAGGAAATGGGAGATAAGTATAGAACATAGAATATCTTAATAAAAAATTCCCCAAAGAAGAAAAAGGTCTAGGCAAGTCCCCTAAAATGACATGTGACCAAGAGGCATATTCATGAAGGGGGGGAAAATGTTGTCCAAATCCAAAACTAAAAAATCACTGAAAACCTTGTTAGGACAATCATAACTGTGTTCTGATTGTAGAATGAAAATGGACAACTCCCAACGGACCAGAGCCGTTACTTCATGGGTCAAGAATCGTGGTGACAACCTGTTAGACGTTGTCAGGAATTCCACTGCTGCAATTACTGTGAGTGCATAACTCCCGAAATTGAAAGAGAAAAGAAGATAAATCATAACTCTCCAAGAAACAGAACAAAAATGTAAAATAACAAATTAATTGAAGGAGAAATTCAAGAAAGTAAGAACGTATTGATAGGTTAATTAAACCACGAGCAAAAAACCAGTGTAATCTGTAGGACATTCAATCGAGAAGTTATTAACATGTGCATGATTAGAGAGGGTGCTAGTTACCACAGGTGGAGGGTTGCTGCATGATCATTTGCATGATACTATGCAGTAATAAGTGGGAGTAACAAGGCTAGTGGCGAGTGAAAATTTGCACAGTCAAGAAAGCTGTTTGTGATAAGAGGTAAGATATCGTATCAGAATACTAAATCCCCAATCTGCATACGTCTTTATGATCTGAGTGTATGAATATTTTTCTTTGGAAAGGGGTGTTACATACTCTTCCCAAAAGTGATCACATTTTGGTGACATTACACTACCTAAAAAATGTTGAAATATTGTTCTGATACACTCTGTCTAAAGACAGCTTTACATTGCTCTTATTGTCATATGACTTAACAATTTGCATATTCAAAATAATATTAGTATAACATACTCAACATTCTGTAAAAGTCATAAGAAAGAGCTGTGCAGTGAAATTTTAAGAATACTTCACATGTTGTTACTTTTTCATGAAACAGTACAAAAAGAACAGCTGATCAGTTGTAAAAACTAGCTGAGAGTCCTGGGTCAATTAGAGTCTGGAAAGACTGTTTTCAATCCATTTCAGATTATTACAGTACTAGAGTACTCACCAATTTTCTTGAAATTCTCTTCTGTTAGTTCTAACATTCCAATTTGTTCCCAAAAAGTTTGGTCCCAAAACATTACTCCTGAATCATCTGCTTGAAATAACCATTTACATGTTACTGTACACATGGACCTGTCCAAAGTAAAACAAAGACAATATGAAAATCATGCACAAACAACACAAAATACTCTAATTTTGTATAATAGCTGAAGACTGAATCAGATAACTTTTAATTTGAAATATATTCTTTCCTATTTCTTTTATATTAAGGATTTCTAACCTTAATTCTGAATATATACTTTATTACTTCTTTTCTAATTTACAATTTTCCCCTTAAGTGGAGAAAAATTATCCAAGATGTAGCAAAATCTAATTTCATTTCAACGCATGTATTGTAATTCAATGAGCTAGCTCACCCTTTTCCAGAATATTTCATATGTTTTTATAGTGTAAACTTTATTAATAACCTGCTCAAGCTCCCAGTTGCTCTCCATGTCAGAAAATCTGGTAGGTCAAAGAAATGTCCAGCATTTTCCCATGTTGCTGGTAGGTTCTAGCACATGAAGGAAATACACAAAGTTATATTTACATATAATACACACACCTAACATAAAACCTAACATAGTTTGTATTTTCATTGTTGCATGTAGATTAAACCTTAGTCAAAACTCACATGAATTTTAAAATTAAAATTTTTTGCAAAGCTGGGGTCAGGTGTGTAGATGTATTTCTACTATACAAATATTCAATTCAGCCAAATGAAATAATCTGCCATAAAGTTGCACTTAAACAGATGAAAAAACATGAAAAATAATTATGCAACATTCACAAGAAGCATAATAATATTTTTTATGTTGTTAATACTTTCATCTGAGAACAGGTCATAATTTTTCTATTGTCTTACTTGTGAATTAATAATGTACTAAACAGCAAAGTGGATCTCTTTCAAATTAAGCATACAATGTAGATGTGCTTGTTATTGTTACCTGTACAATGTACATTTTTATATTCTCCATGACAGATATTTATTAGTGTGGTTGGTAATGGTATAAGATAGCAAATTCTACTTCTATTTTGTTATGATTTTGTTCACCATTAATTTATTATTCCTTCTATCATTTAGTTCATCTATGAATTTTTAGTTATATTAAAGTACTAACTTACCTTCTATCCAGAGCACATTGGATTTGTGTATGTTTGAATTATGAAACTGATACAAGCTTCCCCTGGCAGAGACATTGCAATATTATTTAAATTAGCTAGTCACATAAGATGTAATCTTGAGGTCTAACTACTAAATAAAAACCCTTCCTTGACATTAAACAAGTTAGTTCATGAGATATAGTTAGAACAAATCATTGCTTATTGTCCCTTGATATTGTTATTTATCTTGAAGTGAATTAATTTTGGAATATTGCATTTTTTCAGAATTAGGATTTTTTTCTTCTTCTGGTTGTTTTGCCCAATTCCTTTATTTATTAAAATTAATAATAATGATATTTATGTTGTACTGATTACTAAAGTTTGTATCACGTCCTGGCCAGCCACAGATTTACTAAATGTTTCTTTTTTTGTAAGTGATAAAATTTGTATTCCAATTGTGTGAAAGTTTTATTTTGGATTTCTGTGATTGTTAGTTTGATAAATTGTTTTTTGTTTGATCCTGGTTATAGCTGTAACCTCATCAAAGAATATCAAAAGACTAGTAAGGCAAGGTTTTCCCCTGGGAAAACCATGTTGATTAGCCAACACAATTTTAAACTTTGTTAACTGACTTTGAAAAGCATCTTTTATCAAAATTTCAAAAACTTTTCCCACCACAGATGTACAACTAAATAAGCCTATAATTATCAAGATAATACTTATCACCTCCTAAATATACAAGATGGCCAAGGAGTATTATCATTCTTTAAACATCCTAAGTTTCTCTTAAGAAGCTCAAAATTATTGTAATCATTTTGTTTGATCTTTTTTGCCATCAAGTAATTGTTCAGATGAGGAATGTTAATTAAACCTTCACTTGTAAAAATTTCAAGTTTCAAGAAGTTTACAAAAAATACTTAAGAAAGATAGACTTGTAAAAACAAAATAGTTTAAAATAAATAAATATGGAATAAAATAAAATTAATTTTGGAAAGAATAAAAAGCTTAAAAGCACAAGTGAAAGTAAAATAGTTCTAAGACAAGTTGGTAATCATAAAAACCAAGATATATGAATTAACATGCTGGTCATTGTTGAAATTAAGATTAGTTATGATCAAAATAATATCTATATTATAAAATAGCCAAATCATCTGAAACTTGTAGTGATCACACTAATTATTAATAAGAATTCCTTCACTGCTCTAAGTGTTTTCAATACCAAGTTAATCAGTTATCTTAAGCACTCAATAGTTTAATATGTATAATTGGAACTATCACAAACACTCTAAAACCCCGGATTGGAGCCATTACTTCGAGATTGTTCATCAAGCATTAACCACAAAAAATATATATATTAAAGGTAAAAACAATAGAAAGTGAATTTGTTCCAAAATTCTAAAAATTATTTTTCTTCAACACAAAGTGTATGTTTACAGAGAAAACCTTAGCCACTGCAGAGGTCCTAAGTAGAATATAAAGTGCAAGGTCCCTCATAGCATTTGACAATGAAAAAACCTGACAAAAATTGTTCAAAAGAACAAAGCAATATGTTCATTAATGACTCAACCCAATGACTTTTGCAGCTTTATCTTTAGGAATCACTGATAGAAATATCTATGTATGTCCCCCCATGGTGAAGGAGACTAGTATGTGTGTGTGTATACATATATTGATCTCTCTCATTATAACTAAATCTAAATCCACAGACCACATACAGGCTGAGAAAGATGTTGTTTATTTGAGCATTATGGGATATGTTTTGGATTGATCATTTGTAGTTTTAAGTATTTTTGGAGTTAGTGTTCATCGCGTAGGTGAAGTGTTGAGTACTGGAAAATGGGAGTCATATAATAAGATTTTAATTGTTTAATAACTTCAGCAGGTTTGTGCCCATGGCTTTAAGGCTGACTCTATCTGCATGCATTTACATAGATTCATGAGACATAAGCAGATCACATAAGATCAAAAAGCAAAAAATAATATTATAAAACAAAAGAAACTGATAACCTGAGTGTTTTCAGAAATTAAGCATTATTTTGTGCATCCAAACATTATTTTTATTATATCAAGTTCAGTAATTTAAAACATTAGTGGTATCATTTCATAACAATATTCACAGTAGAATGAGACATATATAACTAGTTATGTATATAAATTTTACTTTTTGAAAGCTAGCTCTTATTGTTAAAACTTTAAATTACTTAAATTGAGCTGTACCTGCTTTATCCACACTAATTTTGGAGGCTGCATTTCTAAGGAAACTGTTCCTCCTGTGCTTCTTAAAACCATGTGTTCGGTTTTGTTGATGAAGTTAGCTTGAAGGAGAGCTCTATGGTCCATCCACATAATTATGTTCTGATGTTTACAGCCTTGGTATTGTGTAGAATAAGCAAAAAAATGATTCAAGAGAACCAAAAGATAAAAATTAAAAACATAGACTTCATTTTAATGACCTAATTAAAAAACATACCAGACAAATAAAAGATCAATTTGCTGAATAAGTTTCCTGTTTTCATCTACATATTTTATTAAAGTTTTTATAGCTTCTACACATTTATTGTCAGTCTTCCAAAACTTTTAATTTACCATTATATTTTATTTTATTTAATTCAAAACTTACCTAAATGTTTTCATCTTCTAGGTAGTGAGCTTTAAATATATTTAAGTTTTCATTGTCCCTAATATTATTTCCTCAAAAAATCTCCTACACATTATTCAAGCTATTAAGTGTTTTAAAAACTTCAATCACATGACCTCCAGATTATTTATGGTCCAAGGTTCTATGTTTCTCTTCATAGTTTGGAGCTTTTAAAACAAGTATCACTCTATTAACTCACTTCACATTTTTAACAAGTTGATACTATGTCCGTAATTAAGGAGGCTAAAACTGCATAAAGTACTGTTACGACAGCGGAAGTCATGTGATGCTGGAAGCATGTGCGCTGGAGCTTCTAGAAGGATCATGACTGTTCCTGGCAACTCTAGTCTTTTCTAGGTGCCCTCTATTTTAGTACATAAGCCCGGCAAATAAAGCGGAGATGTAATTGTATATAGACAGATAATCGAGTCAAGTCGTAAGTAAAGTGAATCGTTGTGAATTATAGCATGTGTTTAAGTTAAAGTGACTGTGGAAATTCTGTGTATTGCAAAGTTGTATTGAGAAAGAATAAACTAGATTTATTTAAGAAAGGACTTGTATCGCTGAAGTTCTTAGGAAAGAATTTTACAGGAAATTAACAAACGACCAGAGACGTAAAAGTACTTTAAATGAAGTTTTACCAAAGACTTAAAAAAAGGACAGTAGCCTGCTTATCTTAAATTAAAAAATATGTAGATAAACCCCATATTTCTATTATAATCACTTTCTCCTAGATCAGTAATCAAACACGAATGCTTTCTTTCTTTCTCAAAAACACTAATTTTCCTTTTGTGCAAAATGCAAGTACTTTTCTAGTTTCCATATTCCCAGTGCATTTTCCTCTCAAACGTGTGCTTACTCTTTAATACACTTAAAAATCTTTGTGAACTAAAGGGAAAATCCTTCTCAAAATTATCATTTTCCAGCATCTTAGCATAACACACAACTTCATAATATTATGTAACTAGATTTATCATTCATGCTTGCAATTGTAATTATATTTATAATCATAGAATATTTAAATTGCATAAATACGATGTGCTAAGCATAACAACATATCAAATTAGCTATATCCATTATTGCATTAATTTTTAGTTCTGATCTCTGCAGATAGCTTGCTTTGATCAGAAGTTTATGATAATCAAAATGAAAAACAACATATGTTATAAGTCATCAATAACACATGCATAAGATCACACACATTGAGGTTTATACTGTTACGTAGATATCTTAAGTTTTATGAAAGATTTTAAAAGTAGCTTTCAAAGAAACAAACTAATAATACATGCAAACAATCAAAATTTAGGACAATCTTAATTTTTACCTGTAGAGCTAATCGTCAAAGGCTGAAAGTTTTTGTCCAGTACAACCAAAGAACAGGTGGCATCAAATCCAATTCCAACCACATCATCTTGATGTATTTTAGACCCACCAATCAGTTTCTGATGAAAGAGATATAATTCCAAATACTTAAAACGTAGAATAATAAAAGATGATAAAGAAAGCCATATTGAGGAAAACATATACTACTCTCATTTTTAAGGATTCACAGTTTTAACAATGTTTTATGTATAAAACATATGATCGAGTACTGAACAGGACTAATTTATAATAAGTTAATACAGAGTTCTGGAAATCAAAATTTATATAATACATAGTAAGAAACATACAAGCTGGATTTTAAACAGTATAATTTCATAAACTCTCTCTCTCTCTTTAATTACATGCAGTCAGGGGTGGCAGTGATGGTCCTGTCCAAAGCTCACTTCTGGGGCACTTACCAGTATTGCTGGGGTGGGGGTGAGGCATTTCTACATGCATTTGAAACATTTCCAAGTTTTAGAACCAGGGAAACTGTTGATTTTATAAAAGTAATTGCTTTAATGCTGAAATTAGTGACAAATAAAATAATTAAATTGTTATATAATATGTACTCTAAAATCTTTCCACTTTTTGCTACATTCCAGAGTCAAACCTGAATTACAATTTTGCAAAGTAGTAGTAGTACAAAACTTTGAGACTTGAAATTTTGTTTCTACAATTTTAAGTTTAAATTTTGTTGGATAGTCAACATGGTTTCACTAAAGGAAAATCCTGTCTTACTAATATTTTGACATTATTTGAAGAGGTTACTGCTTATGTAAATGAGGGTAAAGGTGTGGATTTGATGTATCTGGATTTTCAGAAAGAATCTCATAAGGTGGCACATAAAAGGCTTATTAAAAAAATAACCTCTATCAATGTAGGGGATAAGTTGGCTAATTGGAGAGAAAATTGGATGAATGGAAGAAATCAGAGTTGTTACAAATGGGGTTCAGTCAAACTGAATTAATGTCATCAGTGGAATACCTTAGGGCTCAATGGATTGGAATAATCTTCACAATTCTTTGGAAGAAAAGGATGTTTGGTTTCTGGATGATTAGTCTCTTAAGCCATCCAAGCAGTGCTGTCATTAATAGTAGGGCAAATAGGATTTTAAATTGTTACTACAGAAATACTGAATATAAGCCTAAAGAGGTTATAATTTCAAAGCATATGTCACTAGTTAGGCCACATTTGGAGTATTGTGTTCAGTCTTGAGCTCCTTACCTTAGAAAAAGACATTAAATTATTGGAAAGAGTTCAGAAGAGGGGCTACTAGGATATCTGGGATGGAAAAGTTGTCATAAGAGGAGAGGTAACAATATCTGAAATTGTTTTCTCTTGAGAAAATGAAGAGTTAGAGAGGATCTGATTGAGGAATTTAAGATTATTAAGAGTACTGACAGTGTCAATGCATCGTTTTCCAGGTAGGACTATGGGAAACAAATATAAATTTTGGCAGGATAGGAGTCATCTTCATTCAAAACTTATTTTTCTAACAGGGTAGTTGGCTTTAGGTATTGCTTGTCTTCAGTTGTGATGGAAACTGTAAATTTAAAGGAAGACTTGATAAACAATTGAATATTAAGGGCTGGCTTTCAGTTTATATATATTTTACTTTAGTGAACTGAACATCCTAGATGGAGCAAAAGGTCTTTTCTCTTCCTTAAATGTTATGTTAAACTCTGTGTCAAAAGGTTATGGGATAAATCATCTAAAATATTTGTTGAGTACACACAAAGATTCAAGTTTATGACTTCAGGTTATAGCTGGAGAGCTAAGGTCAAGAATAAATACATCCACCAGGTTACAGGTTAATCTTAATGAACAGGAAATTCTCTGTACAATGAAATTCACTGTCAAGTTCAGTATTATAAAAATAATTCCACACAGTATAACCATGCAATTTAATCATATTAAAAAAGTATGTATTCTTCTTTTAGTATTTCTGCTATCTGTTAATCTTACACCACCTTGAAAATTCTACCATAAGCTAGGCACTCTACTTCTGCTTTGACTTTCACTTTGTTACCAGTGTCAAGTAATTGTCTGTTTGCTTTATATCTTCCTGTAAAAGTGTAATTTAAATAATCTGTAGGTTTTATGATGTTATAGTATCAATTATAGATGTTCTCATTTGGGCTAAATGTATTGTAGTTCAGGTATGTGTAAGCCAGAACATTTTTGTAGTTATTATCACATCTGAATGTGGTCTATGTGTTTTAAATCTGGCTGTAATGACAAAGATGAACAGATTTACTGAATTGCTATAATGAATGGTGGTCTTGAAATTGATTGGATAATGTTGTAATTTGGAACTGTGGGCTTATGGTATTATCACGACTGAAGTAAATGTTTTCTACACTTGGTCTACTATAACATTAGGCACATGCACCCCATAAAGTTGATGGGGTCTTGAAGCAATGAGAGGGCACACTGCCATGGTGGCTCAAATCACACTCTATGAAGGTCATAACAGAATAAATCATAATGAATCAGATTTAGTTCACCATCCTTCTCACAAGCAGATTTCAAATGAATAAATAACCACATCTATGAACATGATAATAGCATAACTTGTTTTTGATTTACCATTATCACAGCCAGATATAGTTCCTCATATTGGTAGCTTCAGCTTAGGTTAATTTCACTCAGATATCTTTTATTTTTATCCTTTGAAAACAATATACATCCAAATACCTATCAAGCACATATCACTTCTTTTCAATATTTGTTAATTTTAATGTTGAATCCCATAAAGTTGGACAAAGTTATCTCTCTGCAGCACATCTTTCACACTGCAGTATCTGTAAATGAGTGTAACATCATCAGATGATGTTTTCACATGGTTTGTAATTTTAAATAGTTATAAATTCAAAACATTTATTTAGTTTATTCTAATGAATATGTGCTGATATTTAGAAAAAAAAATTGTTAAACTTTAAAATTTAAGCCACATTCTGAATGCCAAGTTTCAAACTGAATGATTATCCTACTTCTTAATATGTTTGTTTTAGATAAAAGCCACATTGGACTATCTGCTGTGCCCACTGTATGGAATCGAACCATGGATTTTGGTATTGTAATTCCTTACGCTTACAGTTGTCCCACCGAGAACCTTACAATAAAATTTGAAAAACGGCACAATATCTAAAAAAAACAAAAAAACTTCGAAATATATGCTAACATGCAATTCACACGATGAAATTAAATTCCGTGCTACAAAATGATCGATAAAGAGAATATTAATAAATTATGCATTACAACGATTTACCTTGACTACAGTGCAACAAGCATCCCAGATATCATCCGAAGACTGTTCATAGCGTTCAGCTTCTGGACTCCATATTTGTATCGGATGAGACTCTACGCGGAAGACCTTACCCTTTACAGTAATTAACGCTCCCCTTACGCTTCGCGTTCCAACATCAATGCCGATAACGCACTGTTCTCGACAAGCATAATTCATGTTGCTTTATCTCTAGATTATTTACTTTCAGGAAGCAACACTTTATTGGAAACAGGTTTGGTGATGGTAGACGATTTTCTCCGTTTCACATAATCATCTATAGTCACAGCATTAAGTGTTAGTCTTGTATTTGTACTTTTATTAACACGTGACTTAGATGTACAAACTTTCAGAAATTAAATATTTGAGTAAAATAAACGTAATAAATTCACTTTAGTTCTACTGCGCGTGACGTCATGTGCTAAGTGTTAACCAAATATCCAGTTGCTTGAACTGTTATTTTGCAAAAAAAAAAACTTAACAGATAAAGATTATACTTGCGAAAATAAAATTGTTGAAACCAAATTTTTGCATAACCTTAAAAATTAGTGCAAAACTCATACAGTTTATCTTCACACATTTTACATCCAAATGCGTGCCAAACTTCTTACACACAGATATACACACACTTCGGTGATGTGCAAAACATGTCGCATGTGTTCTACTTGCGTTCAATTATCTGTTGGAAGTTAAGCACAAAGCTATACAATAGGCTCTATGTGCTGTAACTCCACAGACATATCTCTGTGCCACTGTGGGGGCAAATATATATGACATTTTAAGATTTTTTGTTTACTTTGTTTCCATGCAATTTTAGCGTAATCATGTGGTTCATAAAGTCGTGGAGGTTGCCTTGTTTTAGAAGTTTTGTTCCTGTGTTCTCTATGGTAGATAATGTCTATTCTGCCTAGATGATATTTCATACTGTTGGAAGGATCAGTGACTGTAGTATCCTTTGGTGGTCGAATTGACGATGTCTGTATGTTACAGCCAATCAGTGTTGTCAGAGAAGAGAGGTTACGAGGCGACGTTGTTTGCCTGACAAAGAAACCACATTTACCTATAGAACTGAAGCATACTTTCTTGGTTCAGTTATACTAGAAGATTGTAAAGTAAAGAAACTATTTGTAGATCAGTGCAGTGGCATAGCAAGGGTTCTCGGCACCCGGGGGCAAAGACACTTTTGGCGCCCCCACCTCTGAAATGTTTTGATTATTTGTTTTGTGACTCATTACCCACTTAATGACAATAGCATAAATAATTAATTACCGCCTTACACGGGCCTAAAATAAAGTCACAATATAACATCTCACGATATCACAAGTGTAAACCTGGGACTAATGAAGTATAGCCTACTAGGTATACTAACATAATTTGTAAACCATTTTGAAATTTATGTCATCCAGTATTGTTCAAAGTCACATAGCTAAAGTAATCTTTCAAGCATGCAGAATAAATTTCTGTTATATCTCTAGTTTTGAAACTTATGTTTTATATGAGAAGCCAGTCACTTGTGGTGTACAT